AAGGAACCAGTACTTAGAAAAATACAATCTTCCTAGATTGAATCAGGAAGAACTGGAAAATCTAAATAGACCAATCAACAGTATGGAAATTGAAACGATCATCAAAAACCCACCAAAAAGTAAAAGTCCAAGACCAGATGGCTTCACCAGTGATTTCTACCAAACATTCAAAAAAGAATTAATACCTATTCTCCTCAAACTCTTCGAAAAAATCGAAGAGAAGACAATATTTCCCAACTCATTTTATGAGGCCAATATTACTCTGATACCAAAACCTAGTTAAGATAACAGAAACAAAGAAAACTACAGATCAATATCTCTCATGAACACAGATGCAAAAATCCTAAATAAGAGAAGAGAAAAGAGTGTCATTAAAGAGGTAACAGGAAGGATCTTTTTGGCGATGGAATAGTTCTGTATCTGATTGTGGTAGTAGTTACATGAATCTGCTCATGTGATAAAATTGCTTAGAACTATATTTGAGTGCCCGTACACACGTGTGCACATGACTTCATGTAAAACTGGTGAAATCCGAATAAAGTCTGTGGCCATACTGTCAATTTCCTGGTTTTGCCATTGCCATTTTACATATGTTTATGTAAAATATTATCATTGAGATAACCTGGATAAAGGGTACATGGGACCTTTCTGTGCTATTTCTGAAATTAATTAATTTAAAATGCTAATGTTTTTAAAATCTCTTTAAAAAAAAAAAATCTCACAATTCTGTGGATCAGGAATTCAGACAAGGCTTAGCTGGGAAATTCTGCCCCATGCAGTGTTTCCTCAGACCCTCAGTGGTATTTAGCTGGTGATCAGACTGGTCTGGAAGGTTCAAAATGGTTTTAGTCATTTGCCTGGTTCCTGGGTGTGGATAGCTAGAAGCCTGGTCTTGCCCAGGCCCCTCTCCCTCTCCATGTGTCTCCCCAGGAGGATGGTCAGACTTCTTACACGGTGGCTCAGGAATCCCAGAGTTGTTTGATTTTAATACTTCAGAGGTGAGGCATTCTGGATGAGACCAAAGCCCTGGGTATGGCCTTGAGAATATAGCTAAAGTGGAATTGAGTAGACAACCACTAAAAATTAGGTTGTCAAGAAACTGAGAATCTAAGCTGTTAAATGAGTCATTCACGAAGATGTGGAACTGCCCCCAGATAATGGCAGGACTCAGAGAGGAGGGTTGAGATAAGGCCCAAATCATTAATGAGTGAAGGAAAATGACCCAGGGAAAAGAGGAGAAGGGGTGACAGAACCAGTTGGCATGTGCCTAAAAGAGTAGGGCTTCTACAAGCATGTGTCTGGAAAAATACTTAAAGAGACAGTGTAGACACGGATCCCAGCTCTTGACCCTGAAGAATTCGGAGCCTTCATCTGAGACAGCTGCAGGAAAGCAGTGTCAGAGAGGGTCGAATGGAGGTCCAGGCTTGGAGGTGGACGAATGACTCTAGAAATTGAGAACAGACAGGAAGTTTACTGATCATTGAACCAATGTCCCAGAGGATACAGGGAAAAGGTTGGAATAGGAGATTAGTTGAGACCTTGGATGCTGGATCGGGGGAGGGAAAACACAGAACAGCAAGGAAGTAAGTGTTTTGGAAAATGACCAAGGGCTCTAGGGTGTGAGCCTGGTGGATTTGGCCATGTGTAAAAGAACTTAGTCCATCGCTCTGAACTAAATCCTGAGAATATGTCCCTGCAAGAGAGGGCATGGTAGGGAAGATCCTGAAAGAATCTCAGTCCACAGATCCAATGTATGTTGGGAGCACAGAGGATGAATCAGACTCAGTCTCTGCTCAAACAAAATATCTTTATGCTTAAAATTTAAAATTTTATTGACAGAAAGAAAAGAAATCTTGAGTTAATTTGGATGAAGAGGAAATTGTAGGGACATTTCTCTTCCTCCTATTTTTTGCTCTAGTCCACCATTTCAGGGAGATGGGGTTCATAGTGGGTGGTGTCAATTTTCCCTTCTGGTTCAGGACCTGGCTTCTTGGGCCCCCATTTTCAGACTTGTTCTTGCTTGAAAGAGGAAGTTACTATCATAGATGGAGACAAGAGTACACATTTGAGTTTCTCTTTTTCTTTTTTCTTCATCTGAGATAATCTTAAACTTTTCTTTTTCAATCTAATAATATGGTGAATTACATTAATAGATTTTCTCATTTTAAACCATCCTACTTTTCTGGTATAAAACCAACTTGGTCATGATATATCTCTTAATAAATTGTTATTCAACATGCTAATACTTGAAATAAGACTTTTCTGTCTATGTTCATAAGACAGATTGGCCTCTAATATTCCTTTCTCTTACTACCTGTCACTGATTTGGGTATCAAGGTTATATTAGCCCCATAAAATGAGTTGAGAGTGTCTGAACGGATCCCCAGTCAGATTCAACCAGCAGAGCCATTCCTGAATTTCTGATCCAAGAAATTGTTGTTTTAAGCTGCTAAATTTTTAGGTGATTTGTCATGCTGCAGTAGACAATTAATAAACAAATGTGCACTGTCCAAATGTGAAGCTCATTCCTGTTCTGATTCCCATACAAAAAAAATAACTTACACACACAAGGCCTTTGTGTATTTAGCCCAAAAAGAGATGAAGAAATGAACAACATAAAGCCAGCAACTTTGGACATCTTATTTCTTAGAAATCCTTTACATATACTACTCTACCCACCCCAGGTAATACCCATCATCCCTCTCTCACTTCTTCCTCCTCCTCTCATTTACTTCCTACAAACTCCAAATTCTTTCTCACTCTGTAAAGCAGACCAATTAAATTCTCTCAAGCCCATTTCTCCAGACTCAGCTCCAGGAACACCCTTCAAAGACCTACAGCCCTTTGCCAACATGCTTAATGGTACAGGACATTTCTAAGTTCCAAAGGGTATTCTCCTTGACTATTTTGACTCATCCGCTTGTGGCCGTCTTCTTCACATTTGGGTGCAGGCCTGGTAAAGAGAGGATCCTCATTAAATCATAATGAAAGCTAAAATGTATCAAGCACCTATTATGTGCTGGTGCTAGATTACGCATTTCAAATGCAGCATCTCGTTCAATGTTCACAAAAACTCTGTAAGATAGGGATTCTTATTATCCCCTTTTACAGATGAGGAAACAGACTCATTAGCTTTAGGTGCCTTCGGTTATACTTAAAGTTAGTGACAGAGTCGGATTCCTAAACATTTTACCAATATTGCTTAAGTGAATGAAAGGGAAGGTAAGGGACTCTAGAGAGAGGCTAATCTGGACAGGTGGGTTTTGGAAATTCTGGTGTATAAAGTGGTGGTTGTTTCCATGAACGTGGAGGAGAGCATCCAGAGTGAGTGAGCAGCCTCAATCCTAGAAACCTGGGTGCTTAAGGGAGCTTCAGAGAAGAAAAGGCAATAGAAGAAGAGGGAGCTGGGTGGTGGAAGCCTGGACTTCACAGAATGGCCCTGGCAGGCCCAGGTGCCAACAGCTTGTCCGGATGACTGAAGAAGTGTTCCACCTCACTGATGACCTTCAGGAGACTGAGCTCAGGCAGAAGCAGAGAGGTGAGAGGGAAAAGAGGAAATCTGAAGGTGGCATGCAGACAACTCTGCTGAAGATCTAGCAGTAAAATAGAGGGAGGAGGCAGATGGGGTATTGACGGGATGGTTGATCCAGAAAGGGCTTCGGTATGTTTTAATATGGAAGAGGCCTGTTTGTGAGTGGAGAGAAACAAGGGGGGTGGGGGCTGAGCAGAGCCTGCTCTGAGGTCTGCAGAACCCGAGGCCCAGTGGATCTGGAGAAAGGAGTGACCCAGGCTCCCAGGCAGAAGTGGTGAGGACGTGGGGCAAGTGATGGGGCGTGGGCTGCGGGTCAGGGCTAAGGTGCCGGGCCCTGGAGGTCAGGCTGGAGGGGCACCTCGACGGCCCTCTGCCTCCTCACACAGAAACCAGACCGTGGGCCCCGCCGTGCACTGAGGCCTCTCCTCAGATTACAGGGCCAGGGCCTTTGGGAAGTCCAGGGCGAGGAAGAAGGGTGGGCGCTGGCGGCTGGACGGAGCGGGGCGGAGCTGGGCGGAGGACACTGGGCCTGCCCTGGAGGTCAGGCTGGAGGGGCACCTCGACGGCCCTCTGCCTCCTCACACAGAAACCAGACCGTGGGCCCCGCCGTGCACTGAGGCCTCTCCTCAGATTACAGGGCCAGGGCCTTTGGGAAGTCCAGGGCGAGGAAGAAGGGTGGGCGCTGGCGGCTGGACGGAGCGGGGCGGAGCTGGGCGGAGGACACTGGGCCTCCCTCCTCCGCTCCTCTCAGGTGACAGACCCCGCG